TCAGGTCGACCCAAGGGACTTGACCTTGCCCGCTAATGACGTGAGCCGGTGACCTACAACCGCACCTAGCCAAGACACCTGGCCAGGACCACACCTGCACACAATTATCCAGATCAAACCAGTTTAGTGTTAATTGTTAGAGGTCAGAAGCCGGCTGGGCCGACCCCATATAAAGGCCCTACAGTCCCGTCCACGGGCATTCCATATTCGACATTCGAGATTCCCATTCGGGGTTCCATTACCATTCTGATTATCATTCTGATCCTGGTTGTCATTTGAACATTCTGAGGAGACGCTCATTACTCTGGAGATTCTCAGAGTCAAGCTCACCCTCTCCCCAGGTCGGGAAGGGGACTTCCCGACCAGACCCCAGCTAAGCAGAAGCCTCTCATAGGAGGCAGCCCAGCCAGCACTCACTGGGCCTACGTCAGGGTACACGTGAGTCTTGTCAGAACGTCCTAGGGTGAGTTACCTACTGTGGGAAGTGTATTCATTCAGGTGTGTCCGAGAGTCAGTGTCAAGTAACGTAAAGCATGATGTGTTAGTACCCCGATATAATAGTGATATTAATGTGTCCATGTCATTGAGTGAAGTAATAAATAGTTGTATCAAGAGGTGTTTAACAAGTTGTCCCTTTAAGAAGTGATATATGTGTATTGACATACGAGATAAGATAAGCGTAGTGACGCTGTGCAAATAACATCCAGGCCACGCTACCAAGTTTCCTATCTTTACATGCCTACTCTCTAGACTTCCTATATATATATGTCTTCCTCTCTCTGTTTATTTTGTGTCATTACAAGAGCCATGGTGCCCATAGGTAGCTATCGACCTTCGGGAGAGTGGCTAACACATCCGCGTCTGTAGACGTGGGAGAAGAGTCACGAATGCATGAATATTTAACTTCACTATACAAAACATACGTCTGGCACCGGTTCAGACGATAGCTAGAGCTCTACTTTACTTGACTTAATTGGCACTGAAGGTACTATGTTGAAACATGAACACTGATATTCGCAAAAATGACTAAGTTAAACTGAGTTAATATGGCGGCGTGGAACACACGTGAACCTACCTGTAGACGTGGGAGAAGAGTCACGAATGCGTGATTCTCCCTCGTGTAGAGGTATATACGTGCCCCCGCTGGGCAGCTTGGGCCTCCATATTCATGCCAGAAAGGTCAATCTCACCAACAACATACCTTCTCTACCATGTTGGATCACCGTATATTTAATTATGAACTCCGGTGTTCCGGATCAGGGTAATTTCCTATGTCTATTCATATAATCTAATCAGCGGTTGAGCTTGCCAGGAAAAGGTGGAATATACACGTTGATAACAACAATTCTGCAAGCTCAGGCCTACAGCGAACAAGGAACTATTCACAGGGAGACGTTAGATCTTGGAGATTATACCAGTTGACAGAATAGTTCAGGAAATTAATGACTTTCTTAAATAGATAACTGACACTAATTAAACTATAAACATCAGATTCTCTGATGTCGGGGCGACAAAATGATCTAACTTCAGGCGCGATCAGAAACTCATGGATATCCCCACGGATGACCTAAAATACGCCACTCTAACTGGCAAACTCAACACTCGCCTACTTGACACGTCTTACTAACAATAAGGACAGTTGAAGCGTTCAACACCACTCACAATGGATCTTGAATGTTCCAACTGTAAACAGACATATCTAAGTTGACTCAAAACAAAGGTGTTCTCTCTCACATTCAAATACATTATATAGAGAGGTTGGTTTCAGTAAGTCAGAGAAAATGGGATAACGGAGGACTGAGGCGTCTTGAAGTGACGAGAAAACGGACTCCTCAGATGGAGGACTAAAAAATAAAGCAGAGGTACATGTTTTGTGGGCTATTGAGCGTAATATGAATCATTTGATTTTGGCGTTAACTGACGTGTACGACCGTGGTCGTTACACCAACACTCAGGATTGAGGTAGAAATAGAAAATCACAGTGTTTCTCGTATATATATTGTTGCACAACACAGTGTTAAAGAGATACTAAGTTGGGCGAAGCTTGCTCAGAGTTCCTGTAGGGTGAGGAGCTTTCTGAGGGAGCGTGTGTGTGGAGCTGTTGAGAGATGTTGCTTGCTGGTGGAGGTAAGTAGAAAGAGAGCGATGAAGGCCAGGTGAGGTCTTATATAACCGCGGTAGGCGTGGCTTGATGGAAGGCCCCCGCTTTGTTCGGCGTCGCTGGTTACCTGACCTTGACCACGAGGGATACGCCGGTAGATTCGCGGGGGGTCGGCCAGTCAGCGACACGCGGCGTTTGTAGGGGAGGACTCCACTACAATACTCCCCCTCCCCTCCGGGCGCGACGGGGATATTAGCCGGGTTACGTCCCACTGTAACGACCACGGTCGTACACGTCAGTTAACGCCAAAATCAAATGATTCATATTACGCTCAATAGCCCACAAAACATGTACCTCTGCTTTTATTTTGAGTCCTCCATCTGAGGAGTCCGTTTTCTCATCACTTCAAGACGCCTCAGTCCTCCGTTATCCCATTTTCTCTGACTTACTGAAACCAACCTCTCTATATAATGAATTTGAATGTGAGAGAGAACACCTTTGTTTTGAGTCAACTTAGATATGTCTGTTTACAGTTGGAACATTCAAGATCCATTGTGAGTGGTGTTGAACACTTCAACTGTCCTTATTATTAGTAAGACGTGTCAAGTAATCAAGTGTTGAGTTTGCCACCTAGAGTCGCGTATTTTATGTCGTCCGTGGGGATACTGTAGTGGAAGTTTCCCTACAACTGCGTAGCTGCAAGCTACCTGCTGCGTCTTCCCTAGCAACCAAACTAGCGGCCCAGGCGGCGGCGTCACCAGATGCCGCAGTATCCTAGCAACGGAGCCAAAGACCGGTTACTTCTCGGGTTTTCCCAACATGACTCATAGATGACTCACGGCTGCTGGGTATATAAGCTCTGTCTCTCCATTGAGATTCATTCTGGTCCATCTTCCTGAACACGCAACACCTCCTCCAGCAAGCTCCTCGCTGTCCAGCTTTCATTCAACCAGGAGGCCAGCAACAGGCAACATCTTCTCTAACGAAGCTCGTGCACATCTACCTCCTTCAACACGCTACTCACCGAACGTCTCTACTGAGCAGCTTCTCACCACACGGCACCTCCAGCACCAGACTGTCTATCATATAACTTATATTATATAAGAAAACCACCTTAGAGTTTCTATCCATCCTGAGTGCTAGACAACATTATACCACGAACTCCTACAAATGGTGACTCCCAGAGATAAGCACTCACACAGGATGGAGGACGGACGGATCTCTCTGCCGACTTTCAACCGCAACGTCGAGGACTGGCTAGACCATGTGGAAGCAGCCCTCGCCGGCTCACGAGCGACCGACGAGCAAAAGTATGGCGCCCTGCTCTGTGCCTTGCCCACGGAAGTGGCCACGCGGGTCTCACAAACCATTGCCAACCCTCCAGATGACAACAAATTCGCTACCCTGCGGGCTGCCTTGAAGACGTGTTATCAACAGACCAGCCCCAATCTCCTGCAAGATCTATCCTCTATCTCCCTCGGGAACTCAACCCCAGGACGTCTCTGGGAGGAGATGTGCCGGCTGAACTCCCGTCACACAGACAGACTCCCCGACTCTATCCTGCGCCAGCTTCACACACAAAAGCTACCCACAGAAGTACGCAACATCCTGTCCGCAGTAGATTACTCTACGACACCAGAACTATTTGCAACCGCGGCAGATAGAATTTTCAACGAGTGCGCTGATGCACCCCTTGCCGCCACGGTCACACCAGTACCTACCATCGAACTTGTAAGCCGGGTCAACACCCCTCAGCGGAGCAATACCTCACAAGACATCAAGGACCTGTTGCAAACTTTGAACCGCAGGATGGACACCATTGAGCAGTTCTACTCCTCCATACCCGCTGCTGCGCCAGTTCCTGACTCGCACACCACGCCCTACAAGTTCAGACGCACAGCAGCCAGCCCCCAGCACAACAAATATACCCTCTGCTGGTATCACCAGACTTTCGGCCGCAATGCTCGAAACTGTGAGCCCTATTGCACCTAGTGGATTTCTCCCCTACAAACGCAGTTTGTCGCTGCGTAGCCGACCCCACGAATTCCCCAGTGTGTGCCTCGTGGTCTAGGTCAACCAGCGCCGCCATACATCACGGAGCGGGGGTCAACTACTAAGCCATGCCTACCCCCCGCTATTTAAGACCTGACCTCGTGGTGACCTGTCTCTTTCTACCTCCACCAACCAGCCAGCAACACCTCCTCCCCCTCCGCCTGCCTGGCGGCCCTCGCTCCTCCTCCGCTGCCTGGCGGTCCTCGCTCCCGCCGGCGAGCATGGCGACTCACAAGCTGTCCTTCTCTGAGCGTCCTCACCAACCAGCTCTCTCTACATCACGCTTGTAACCATGCTGCCTTCCCAGCACCAAGCTGCATTGTACATCCAATACAACATGTATACATGAGAGCACATCGTGAGTTTCCTTTCTCCATCCCATCCTGAGTGTGAACCAAAAATCCCAAAAACCCCACAAGACCACGAGGTATACACTGGGGAATTGGTGGGGTCGGCTACTCAGCGACAAACAGCGTTTGTAGGGGGGAAATCCACTACAGTCTCTTCCAACATCCAATGGAGTTGAAGAGACTATTTTCTAAATTGAAATTAATGAAAACAAAATCCAGAAACGCTCTGCAAACTCCATCTATTAATTCATTAATCGCCTTGTCTGAGGCTGTGAAATTCCAGGGTGGATGTATACATTTTACACCAAATCAGAGGACGCTAACTTCTATTTGATATTTTTTGTTCAATTAGTGTTTAATGTTCCCATGTTATGTTATAATATTATATGATTGTAGGGTTTTTGTATGTGCATATTTATATTTTGCCAAGATATTACAATAGTTATACCTAAATTTCATGCTTTTTAATGTCCATTAATACCCAAGGAAAACGTGAGGAAAAATGACGTTATAGAGTTGAGGAATAAACGTTTGGTTGTCAGGACCAGGAACCTTTGATTGGTGTGTGTATGTGTGGTGGATGTTGTCAACACAAGGTAATTACAGTGTACTGTACTGTACTGTATAACGGTATTGGTGGGGGAGAGAGCTAACACTAAAAATATTCCTTCGATTTCTTTTATATTTTCCACTAACGTTGTTTGGATGATTATATTAATCAGAGTATCGGCCTTATACCGGTATCCGAGAGTTGCCTACCACAGTCCTCCATTCTAAATATTCTCGTGGTGTATTTACCAATCCTCTAAGGCCTTTTATCTCTATGGGGTCCCAGCTTTTAATTTCATTCATCTATCCCAGTCTTTGCCTTCCCTTGGCACTCCTACCCATTAATATTTTTTTTACCCTCATACAGGGTCTGCTCATATCGTCACCAACCCGTTTCTTCACCACTATTTTTAACTCGTTTCGTCACCACTGCTTTACCTGTTTCGTCACCACTGCTTTACCTGTTTCGTCACCACTGCTTTACCTGTTTCGTCACCACTGCTTTACCTGTTTCGTAACCACTGCTTTACCTGTTTCGTCACCACTGCTTTACCCATTTCGTCACCGCTTTCATTCCCATCAATATATACACGAAAATAACTGTTGCTTGGGATAGAAAATAATAACAAACACGAAGAAAATTTAGTAAAGACGAAAATAAAATATAAACACGTAATTTATCCGGTCCAACGAATTACCCAAAAAGTACCCAAATGTACCCAAAAGTATATTAAATTAGGGTAAAATCTTAACGAATATATGTTTTACATCAATAAAACCTGATTAATAATGTTTTCACTGAAATGTAGTCAAAATAATGAAATAATAAACAGCGAAAAACGCTAAATTCCAAAGAGTCACCTATCCAAAATGGTGATATAATTACCGATGTTTCTGTTACTTTGGGGTATTTAACATAGCTGTAGGATTTACTCTTCGTTAGATTAGGTTAGGTTAGGTTAGTGCATCACGATGGATCCGAGTTATCTCCCTTGTTCACGAACTCTTTGGAATTTAGCGTTCGCCAATATTGAAAGTTTTTTGCTGTTTATTATTTCATCTTACAAATTATTTTTACAAAATTACACTAAAAATATTATTAAACATGTTTTGTGTATGTATAACAGATATTCGTTAAGATTTTACCCTTATTTGCTTTACTTTTTGGTACTTTTGGGTAATTTGTGGCTCCCTAATTTATCCGCTGGTACCAAATCACCTTCATTTGTTCTGTGTTTTGTTTATTTACCAATGTTGAAACGTTTTCTTTATTAAACAATTAATATTCATGTATAGTAATAACACAACATATGTTCATTTGTTTTGTATTTTGTTTATTTACCAATGTTTTAATCGTTTTCTTTATTAAATAATTAATATTCATGTATAATAATAACTATGCTTTTCGATTCGTCTGTATACTGTACATGTGTAATTTATATTCGTGTAAAATAATACCTTACAATATGTCACTAATACCAGCGACTGTTAGTGGTGATGAAACAGATTTGATATTGGTAACGGAATGGGGTTTTGGTGACGAACCGGGTCGGTGACGAAATGGATTGGTGCCGAAATGGGGTGTATCCCCTCATACCTATTATATGAACAAAGTATCTGATTTTTCTTTTTCTGTGCATTTCAGGTATTTCTCATGAAAATTTTGAAATGTCTGAAAACAGCACTACCACCACGAATTATTTGATTTCAGTCATTTGGTTAATATTAATGAGATACTGTTGCAGCCTTATTTGTTTTGATGCATCTTTTCGGTTAATGTGTAGATTAATGCGGATAATATATAGGACTAACCCACCAGGGCTGCATAGCGCCAATGCTGCCGTATCATGTTAGGTCCAGAAAACGCCTCGGATTTCTGTTTAATATACCAGGGAAGTTAGGTAAGGTTAGGTAGGTTTGTTTGGTTAGGTCTGTTCTTCATACCCACTAATTTTAAGTAGCGTTTATTTTAAAAATGTCCATTTTTTAACAAATTTCCACAAACTACAACGGTGTTCACTATAATATAACGATGAAAATCCTGCTTTTTTATAATTGTTTTCAACCAATTTCTTTCGCGGGTTAGTCCTATATAATTACCATTAATGCTGCCAACGATTCTAACAAGAACACACTGCTTTTCCACCATAATTTTTGTTAAGTGTTAGTGACAGAGTTCTCTTTTGGGGATGTGTTTCTTTATACTATAATACCATGAGTGAGCCCATTGCCAAGCCATGGGAAGGGGAGTGTGTAGTGCGCTGGTCGTATGAATCGCATTACCATGCGATATAATGCATGACCCATTTCTGAAAAAGTAGCGTCTCCACAATAGGGAATACGTTACGCTAGGTTAAATAATGATAAGTTAAATACAGACAATATATATATATATAACCACTTGGGGGGTCGAGGAGGTCAACGTCCCCTTCCGCTAGAGGGTTAGGTCAGGTAATCTTAGGTTAGGTTAAATAAGGAAAACATTAGTTTTTGGGGTAATTTTTTGTTTACCGCCCATCACCTTTTTTTCCCATGAAATTTTTTTTTTTTTTTTTTTGCTAGTATTCTTGCTGTTTTAGATTCTGACATTTATCTCTGGGGCTAAAAACGAGTTGATTTTCACAAAAAATAAATATCAGAATCATCTAAAACAGCAAGAATACTAGCGAAAAAATATTTTTTTCATGGGAAAAAAAGGTTAAAGCTAAACTAGGTCTACGTACTAACCTAACCTTCATGACCTAACAGGCCACGACCTAACCCAACCTAACCTGACGGATGCGCAACGTTATGTAATTTCCATTCACCCACGCACCAAGGCGTGCTAACACACAAACGAATGAACGAGAGAGATGTTGCGTGTCACCATAACATCAAATTGGGACTTAGAAAAATGTGATTATTACAACAAATAAATCACGAATATCTCATTTATTTTTGGAGAGATGTATTAACTAGTAAGAGAAAAATAATAATGTGATGGGTTGTTAACGAAAAATTATCGTTTTTTTTTTCCCAGAAAAAAACAACTATCTCCAATAAGAAAAAAAACAGCAAAATGCATGCAGGAAAAAAATGTTTTTGCTGGCAAAATCGCTCGCAGTACTTAAGTAAATGTTTACCATCATTTCTTAATATATTTTCATTGCTGAGTTGGGATATGATATTCATTTCTTGGGTAAATGTTTTGTTTGGTAGATATTTAGGCCCCTAAGCTCGCATTAGAGACATTACTTCATCTTGCACGGTGATAAGTCGGTCCGATCGCCGCTCAATTTTGTCCTCCACTCAAGGGGCTCAGTGGGGTTAGGGTCATCTCGTACCCAAGACAACTCATACCCAATACAAATCTTACCCAAAAAAGTTAACTCGTACCCATGCCAACTCGTACCTAGATAACTTGTACCCAACTCACAAGGTAAATCGTACCCAAGATTAGGTTTTTTTTTTTTTAAAAGGAATTAGCCCACCCTGGCACACGTCACTGACCCATATCGGGGCCTGGGGAGCGAAAATGTAATAATAATAATTCATAGTAAATATAATTTATAATAAAATACAAATTTAAAAATAAAGTGATAATTCATAATAAATAAGATTTATAAATAAAATACAAAATTAAAAAATAAAATAATAATGATATTAACAACAACACTGTACTACTAATAATAAAGAACCATAAAGAAATAAAAAATGGAAAAACAAATCAAAAGTGAGAAACAATATACGGTATGTATGTTGTGTTGTCAAAGTAAGAGAAACAATTGCGACCCTGCAATTGTGTGTAAATGAGGCAGAAAATTGGTTGAACAACTTGGGACTTGGTCACAATTTTCATGATGCCATATGGCAGCAGGGTCTACCTTTAAACAACACATTATGCTTCCAATATCTTCCCAGGCAGTAGTACCTCCCCATATGATAGCTGCTTACTACTTACCGGTACTACCCACAGTTTAGACTCAGGGCAAAGAAATACGAAGAATTTGTTGATCGTACTTTTTCGTTATTAAAAAAATAGATTAGGAAAGGTTAGGGTTGTCATATCTGAACATTAAAAAAGAGGACGTTCCCGAAGACATCTAGCCCCCCCCCCCCACCCCGCCTTGGCCCGGCACGGCACACACTTTGGCACTATGTAACCTTGAAGCAGCCGTGACAATTAATTTTGCATACAGTGACCCCTCGGTTAACGAAATTTCGGTTAACGAACTGCCTTCCATAAGGATCTTCAATTCGGTTAACGAATTTCTTACGAACCGACCTCAACATGTTTTCGCTTGCACTGACCGGGCAACCAGCTTTAGTATCAGTCCGCCAATACATTAATCGGTTCTAGGGCTTAAATTCCTTACTATTTTAGTAAATATCAAGAAGTTTATATTATTCAATAATTTTAAAAGTTTAATATTAACTTTTTTAGTCATTTTAACAATTATTGAACATAATTGAAGGTAAAGAAACTAGTTTCTGGCGTGCCAGCCAGCCTGTTAACACACCAGACAGGCGTTAGTCTCTCTCTGTTTTCAGTGGAGGTAACATCTTGCTTGAGACTCTCTTCAACTAAATGCTTTTCTGTGTTTCCAAGCAAATTATTGGTCATTTTGAAATATATTTTACATATTGACAATATATAATGCAGTGCAGTGTTGATTTAAAGAAAATAATCTTGAAATACACCAAGAGAACTAAAATTTTATGGATGAAATGGTGCCATGGGGTGACTTCTCTTCCACCCCAATGCCTTTTCTTCTTCCTTCTCCTCCACCCCCATTCTAATTCCTATCATCATCATCATCATCCAGGAGTTCTTTCAAAGTAAGTGAACTTTTCTACCATTTTTGTTGAACGGTGAGCTTTGAAACAATGGTTTTGGTTAACGAACTTTTCGGTTAACGAACGACCTTCTGGAACGGATTGAGTTCGTTAACCGAGGGGTCACTGTATTTGCATAACGTTAGTATACAGTGGTCCCTCGGTTAACGAGCACAATCCGTTCCAGCAGGTTGCTCGTTAACCGAAAAACTCGTTAACTGAAACCATTGTTTCAATGGGTTTTTGGGTAATTGGTTCCAGCTCACCGAAAATTTCCTAAATTCAACAAAAATGGTAGAAAAGTTCACTTACTTTGAGGTGTGTATGTAGAAGGCTCCTGGATGATGATGATGATGTGCATTTGAAGTGGGAGGTGGAGGAGGAGAAGGGAGAAGAGAAGGAAGTGGAGGTGGAGGAGAAGCATTTTACTGCTTCTTGGAAGGTGAGTCACCTTCCATGAAAATGTCAGGAACCTCTGGACTGACAGATTCTCCACCATGAACATCCTCTCTCCTTGAAGTGGAAGGCTGAGGGATAGCATCTTGTTCCCTCTGCCTTTTACTGAAGAAAGTGTCAATTGTGGTCTGTGGGGCATCTGTCCTCCTCACCATTAACTTATGTTTAAAGGAGACCACTGAGTCCTCAACATGACACAAAGTTAGTTCAGTTTTTCCACTTCTGGGTGCTTTGAAGCCAGTTCCCTGAACTTCTCCCAGTAGTAAATCACATCTTTCAACTGTTTAGCTGACATATGGTCATCACTTTTAATTTCCTCCTCACCACTGTCAGCCTCTACCTGTAACATCTCATCCAGTTGCTTCAAGTCTTCAGGAGTAAGTTCCTCCTCATGAGACATCACAAGCTCTTCCACATCCTCCTCCTCCACTTCAAGGCCCAATGACTGACCAATGGACACAATCTCCTGGTCCAACTCTGTTTCTTCCTCAAATCCCTCAAAATCATGGACTACTGATGGCCACAATGCTTTCCATGAAGAATTGAGGGATCTAGTGGAGACTTCTTGCCATGATGACACAATCAATTTTACAGCCTCCAGGATTTTGAATTGTGTCTTCCAGAAATGTTTCAGTGTTAGTTCAGGATCATTGGAAGTTGCCTGATGACACCTCCTAAACATTTTCTTCATGTACAACTTCTTGAAGTTGCTGATTACATTCTGGTCCATTGGCTGTATGATTGATGTAGTGTTTGGAGGCAAAAACAACACTTTCACAAAGTCAAATTGAGACTCCAAAGTTCAGGCAAGTTGAGGGTCATGACCAGAGGCATTATCCATAAGGAGAAGAGCCTTTAAAGGGAGTTTATTGGTGGTTAGGTAGCTCTTCACAGAAGGGCAAAACACCTCAACAGCCCATTCATTAAGAGCTTTCTTGTTACCCATGCCTTACGGTTGGACTTCCAATAAACTCCAAGCCGTCCTCTTACCACTTTTTGTTGCTTGAACACCCTGGGGTTCTCGGAGTGGTAGACAAGCATAGGCTTCAGTCGGAAATCCCCTGAAGCATTGGCACCAAGCAATAGAGTGAGATGGTCTTTCATGGGTTTATGCCCATGTAAAGAGGCTTGATCTCTGGTGATGAATGTCCTTTTGGGCATCTTTTTCCAGAACAGCCCAGTTTCGTCTACATTGAACACTTGCTGTGGAAGATAATTTTCTGTATCCATCAGTTCTTTAAATTCCACTAAAAACTTTGCTGCCCCTTCCTTATCAGCACTGGCAGCCTCACCGTGCCTAACAACACTAAATACTGTATGCCACTTTTTTTCTTAAATTTTTCGAACCAGCCCTTACTGGCCCTAAAATCTTCAGTCTGTGCCTGAAGAACCAGGTTGATCTACCTTTAAATGTTTGTATATTTCCCTGGCTCTTTAACAAATAGATTCAGTAGAAACTGAATCACCTTTCATCTGTTTTTCCCTAATCAAGATGAGAAGTAACCTCTCTGTTTATGCTATTAGGGAATTACCTTTGTAAACACTGGTAGATTTGTCTCTCACTTTCACTTCCTTGAATTTGTCTTTCTGTGCAAGAATGTTGACACAGTTGATGTCGACATGCCATATTCTTTGCTTAGCACATTTTTTCTAATGCCATCTTCATGTTTTCTAATAATTTCCTGTTTCACCTGAATTGAAATCGCTTTTCTAGATTTCTTGGGACCTATGCTGGATTCAAAAACAATTTCAACACATGATATTTTAAGTTTCATTGCTGTAAATATAGGATATTTTCTTTAAATTAACACTGCAGTGTGCTATGTATCATCAATATGTAAATTAATTTAAAAGTGACAAAAAATTTGACTGAAAACACAGAGAAAAAGCATTTATGTTGAAGAGAGTCTGAAGCAAGATGTTACATCCGCTGAAAAGACACAGAGACCGACGCATGCTTGGTGTGTTGACAGGCTGTTTGGCGCGCTAAAAACTAGTTTCCCTGTATTCAATTATGTTAAATAATTGTTAAAATAACTAAAAAATTTAATATAAGACTTTTAAAATTATTGAATGGTACAAACGTCTTGATATTTATTTAAATAGTAAGGAATTTAAGCCCTAGATCCGATTACTGTATTGGCGGACTAAAACGACAGCTAGTGTGCGAGTGAAAACATATTGAGGGACGCTCGTAAGGAATTCGTTAATCGAGGGAATGCTCGTTAACCGAAGTTAAGAATCTTATGGAAGGTAATTCGTTAACCGAAATCTCGTTAACCGAGGTGTTCATTAATCGAGGGGTCACTATACTTTACAAGTAATATTTCCGTTATCTGGAATTGAAATTTGCTTGGAATTTTTCTGGAAAATTTCCATCAATTTAAAATTGTGAAAAAATTTTCAAGGTTGGAAATCAGGAACATTTTCTTGAAAAAAAAAGCAGAATCTCTGCACATCACTCTGTTCTGGGCCTTGGAATAAATTATCAGGGCATTCCGAGAGATTGTATCATACTCCAATGCATCCTATGTGTCAGGCATGTGGGTGGCCTAACTGCTTGGATTGCTTAGTTCATATTCTCTCCATTCTAAAAGGTTGTTCCCTTGCTCGCTGTTGTTTTTGCATAAAATTTGTGTTGTACATTACAGTACCAGAACAAACGCAGCCAAAAATAGTGTTAAAGTAATGTTAAGTCGGTAAAAAGTGATTAGGTGATTATAGTTGCGTATACTGTACTGTACAGGTACTGTACATTCATTAAGTGGGAAACACTGTCTTTATTATAGACATACTGCATCAGGTCAGATCAATAACATGACCCATTAATCCCCCACCTCCATTGTGATTACAGTTAAGTATTACAGTCAGCTGCCTACAGTGTCTGCCTACTCTAGGTTCAAGACGACAGCATCTGCTGGTGAGTACAGTACAATATGTACAGTATAGTACTAGTATACATTATTTTGTTTACAGTATTAACTATATTGTATGTGTATAGTGGTGTTTGCATAAATAAATACAGCTCTTGCGAGATGCACCACTTAGACTTGGGGGAAATTTTTCTGTGAAAAGTGGAAAATACCACTTGTCTTTGTTGTAACATACAGCTCCATTCATGCCTGTATCATGTAGATCTTTTGTTTTATAAAATATATTTATTTAACCAAACTTTTAGATAAAGTATTCATTGGTGTCTGCAGTGGTAGACAGGTGGAAGCCAAGATACTGAAAGTAGGTACAGTCAACCCTCACTTTACGCGGTTAATGTAACCCACAGGGTACCGCGGAAAGTGAGAAACGCGTAAAGTGAATAACATAACATATGGGATTAAATGAAATAGAGACCAGCTGACCCCCAAACTCCACTTTTTCCAACAAAATACCTATGTTCTCGTAAAAATAACATCTTAATTTTATGATGGTACATGCACACAATTAATACTTAAGAGAAATAGAGAAATACAGTCACCAAGTTAATGTCCATTCAAATAATGGACTCCACTCCCTCCCCCTCTTCTCACAGTACACTCACTGGCTCTTCCCTCTGAGAAATTTTGGGGGGAAAACCAGGTATAGTAATAAATAATACCTCAAACTAAAGTTAGGATAATATAATTGACATTGCTGGATTCCTTGTAAGACCAGGAATATTTTGAATATAAATGTCATATATTTTTCACAAAAGATAACATATTTACTCAGAGTAAACATTACATCTAAAATTTGTATGTCTAATGCAAAATCTATGATGTTTATATTCAAAATGATCATCAAATTGTAAGAATTCCAGCAATGTAAATTATATTCTGGCCGGGTAATTTGTATGAATTTTATGAGCTAAAACAAATATCTTCAGTTAATAAAAAAAAAATATTCTTCACGACACTATCTGTCAATCAAATTACCCCACCTTGCCTCCCCCCTCTTCCAACGAGCCAGATGGTCAGTCCGTCCCAACCCTCCCCCCACCTCCCACCAACCCTCCCTTCAAGAGAAAGAGTGGGTGAAAAAACTAGATTTTAACATTTAGTATTAAATAATACAGGGAGTTCTGCTATAACGCGTGTTTTGATAACGCGAATTTGCTCTAACGCGATTTATGAATTCGGAACAATATTTGTATAACGCGAACGCTTGTTTGCTATAACGCGATTTTTGCTTACTATTTCTCCAATTTTGTGGTATTAACTGTGAATATGGTAAAGAAGAATATCTCCAAAAGGCGCTCTGATGATAGAATTCCCGGTGATTATCGTAAAAGAAAGGATATAACACTTGAAGAGAAGCTCAATGTTATCAACCTCAAAATCACCCTTCTCCCCCATCAAGTTACATTCATATTTTTTCAAGGTAAAGTGTTAAATTTACTGTATGATTTCATTATTAGATATGAATGTAACATTTATTTAGACTGTGCTATCCTTTGTGTTAGGCTAAATACTAAATTTTTTCGATTTCGAGTAATCTGCACCTAACCCTATTTTCTCCATAAGCCCTGTTATTTCTATTACGCGATTTTCTATAACACGATATTTTACAAGAACACAATTATCGCATTATAGCAGAACTACCTGTACCTCAGATTAAAGTTAGGATAATATAATTGACATTGCTGGATTCCTTGTAAGACCAGGAATATTTTGAATATAAATGTCATATATTTTGCACAAAAGATAACATATTTACTCAGAGTAAACATTACATCTAAAATTGGTATGTCTAATGCAAAATCTATGATGTTTATATTCAAAATGATCATCAAATTGTAAGAATTCCAGCAATGTAAATTATATTCTGGCCAGATAATTTGTATGAATTTTATGAGCTAAATAAAAAAATTATACTTCACCCATGTAAAGGGTTACACCCACCGCGGAATGTGAGCATCCTGGGTTCTGGCAGGGCACCGGTAAACGTGGAAACACGGAATGTGGGACCGTGTAAAGTGAGGGTTGACTGTACATTAGAGAGGGTAGTACCGATAAGCTGGATGGATGGTGGAGGTGTGGCTGAACCAGGGGCAGGCTGAAAGAGAATCTGAGTCTTATGTACATTCACCTCAAGGCCGAAGTGTGCAATGTGACTATGCGTATGCACTGCATACGCATCTGCGTAGGTGTTCACGATCTCCTGTAGGTCGCGTTCAGTGTGAGCGACAAGGGTGAAGTCGTCTGCATAGTGAAGCTTGGTAATGGAAGCTGCCGACACCTTTGTTCTTGCCTGGAGTCGTCTTATATTGAAAAGACCCTTCATCCAGTACTGGATGTCCACCCCGCCAGCTAAATTGGTGCTGGCACGAGAAAGGAAGGCAGCCAAGAAAATGGAAGAGAGAGTTGGTGCCACACCCTTGTTTAACCCCCGTTTGGATGGGAAAGAACTCAGACTGGGTGCCATTGTGTAGGACACTGCCGTTCATGCCATCGTGGAGTTGCCTCACAAAGACGATGAATTTTGGTGGGCAGCCAAAACGGCTGATGGTCCACCAGAGGGCTTCCCCGTTGACCAAGTCGAAGGCCTTGGTTAGGTCGATGAAAGCCATGGACAGGTCACGACGCTGTTCTCTGCACTTTTCCTGTATCTGATGGGCAGGAAAGATCATGTCAGTGGTGCCACATGATGGTCTAAAGCAGTGGTGTCAAACTCAAAACCTTTCGAGGGCCAATTCTTATTTTAGTTATCCTCTTCAGGGCCAACACGAGTGCTATATCACATATTTGCAGGATTGAGGTTTACAGCTTCACACATTGTCTTACCTGGCTTACCAGGAATACCTCGTTTAGGTTTGTCTGATCTTAAATATGTAATATTCACTTTACTTAATAAACATGATTAACGCTAATACTGTAATAGGATAGCAAAAGGCGTATACAGGTATATGCATTATTTATAGTAATTTTTCCTTCACAGTAGTGTTATTACAAGCATCAACAATATAAATTCAATTATTGCCACAATGATCTCAAGATCATTTCAGAATTTTCTGACTCATTCATATCTGCATTTTTTCCTTCATTATCTATTTCTATCATAATTACACAGGCTGATAAATTTTACCATCATCTCGCGGGCCACACCTGACCATCCAAAGGGCCACATTTGGCCCGCGGGCCATGAGTTTGACACCCCTGGTCTAAAGCCACATTGAGATTCTGGGAGGAAGTTTTGCGCCTCAGGAAGAAGTCTGTTTAGGAGGACTTGGGCGATAATCTTGCCAGCTATGGACAGCAGCAAGATCCCGCGGTAGTTGCCACAGTCTGACCGGTCCCCCTTGTTCTTATAAACATTGACGATGGAGGCATCTTTAAGAACTTGTGGGATTTCCTCCTTTTCCCATATATTCTCCAGGAGAAAGTGGAGACGGCTGGTAAGCAGAGGTCCTCCTGCTTTATACATCTCGGCTGGGATTCCATCGGGCTTTGTTATTTTTCATATGTTTGATGTCAGTAGCTACCTCATCCAGGGATGGAGGATAGCTGAGGTGGGTCAGCTGTGGATGCTGAGGGACCTGCTGGGTAGTCGGGACATCCACACCGGTTTTTTGGTTGAGCAGTGAATGGAAGTGCTCTTTCCAGCACTGAAGGAGGCCTTCATTGTCTTTAATTATGCAGTTACCATCGGATGAGCGGAGGTGGGCTGTGCCACGAGTAATTGGCCCATAAAATATTTTAGTGGAATTGAAAAATTCACGCATCTTGTGCTGATCTAAAAATTTTGTGTTTCACGTACAGTGGTCCCTCGGTTAACCAAAGGTCCAATTAAAAAAAATTTAGTTAACAAATTAGCTCCCATAAGGATTTTTAGTTCAATTAACGAACAAAACTTCGATTAACGAAAGCCTTACGAGAAACACGCTGTGTTGTGCGCATCATTTGATCAGCTGATCGGCTAGTCCGCCAATACAGTAATCGTTTCTATGTTTACATTCGTTTCCAGTGGAGTAAATATCAAGAGGGTTGTGCTCCTTAATATTTTTGCATTTTTTATATTAAAATTATGTCATTCTAAAATTTAGTTAACATATTGATAATATATGCAGTACAGGGAACTAGTTTTTGTGCGCCCATCAGCCGCTTGACTCACCTGCCAAAGTTTCTCTGTTTAACTTTGTTTACAGTGGAGGAAACATCGAGATTGTTGGTCTCCTGAATATTTTTACATTAAAATTATTGGGCATTCTGAAATTTGGTTAACATATTGATATTATATAGTGCAGTGCAGTGTTGATTTAAATAAAATAATCTTTAATTACAGCTAGTGAACTTAAAATTTTATTGGTGAAATTACTGTATCAAGCATGGGTCCAAAGAAATCTAAAACGGCAATTTCAATTCAAGTGAAACAGGAAATTATTAAGAAACATGAAGATGGCATTAGAACCAATGTACTGATTAAAGAATATGGCATGTTGGCATCAACTGTGTCTACAATTATTGTGCAGAAAGACAAATTTAAAGAAGTGAAAGTGAGAGACAAATCTTCCAGAGTGTTTAAAGGTAGATCATTAATTGTAGAAACAGAGAGGTTACTTATTATTTGGATTAAAGAAAAACAAATGAAGAGAGATTCCATTTCTACTGAATTCATTTGTGATAAAGCCTGGGAAATTTACGAACATTTGAAGGAAGTTAAACCTAGTTCTTCTGAAACTGTGCTTGAAGAGTGTAGGGCCAGCAAGGGCTGGTTCGATAAGTTTAAGAAAAGAACTGCCATTTATAGTCTTTGTTAGGCATGGTGAAGCTGGCAGTGCAGATAAAGGAGCTGAAAATTTTGGAGTAGAGTTCAAGAAATTGGTGGATGAAGAGGATTATCTTCCACAGCAAGTTTTCAATGTGGATGAAACCGGGCTGTTCTGGAAGAAAATGCCCAAAAGGAGATTCATCACTAGAGATGAAGTTGCTTTACCGGGGCATAAACCAT